ACAATATCCCGGAACGGATCGAGACATTTTTTTCAGCGAGGAAACAATGACGACTATCGCATTATCGACATGAACAAATTGCTCACAATTTGCGAAATGCATTATAAGAAATATCGAATACTTGAAAACCGGACACTGCTAGGATCGTTTTAATCAATTTATCTAAGTAAGGAAGTAAAAACATGGTTTAAACGTTTATAGCACTTTATTATAAAATTAATTTGATTCAATTATTTATATATGGAGGTGTTTGCAAGCGTGCGAGGACGAAGCGAGCTAACTCACTTATAGCAGTCTGCGAACATCGCGACACGCTTCCTCGTATAAAGTTTATGGATGTGCTTGTTAATATTAATTTTTAATTCACACATTGAAAAATGACAGATGTTATGCCTACGAGTATATTACAAATAGAAAAAAGACCGGAGAGGCGTGTTACCAAGAGTTCACAATCCAGGAAGAAAAGCAGTTTTAAGATTTACGTTCTGTTTGTTAATGACACTTAAACAATCTTTAATCTGTACTAATATTATAAAGAGGAAATATTTGCATTTTTGTATTGAAATAACTCAAAAACAGTTGGGCCGATTTTAAAAATTCTATCACCATTAGGAAGATAATTTATCAGCGAGTAACAAATCCAAAACTTTTTAATTTAACGCGGCCGAAGTCGAGAGCAACAGCTAGTACACTATAAATAAATTTCGTTAATTTCGTCAACGTGATCTCTATCGAGTCAATCATCAAGAACTTGTATTTTTTTTGCTCTACTCATTCTCTGGGATGTGATGTAGAAAATAATAATTAATTGGTAAGTAAGTGGATAGCGGACGACAGGCGACAAGCGACAGGCGACAGGCTACAGACTACATATGAGAGGCGACAGGCTGGTCGTTAACGCTGTGCTCTCGGCAATTAGCTCGTTAGCCGATGAGCGCGTTACCTAATTACAACGATAAACCTACGAGCTGGCAAATTGTCTACACCAAGTTACTATTATTATTATTAATGCATAGTTATTAAGTACACATAGAGTAATCATAATAGAAAGCGATTAATTCGTTTTCTATATACCTTTCTTGTGTAATTGCCTTAAAAAGAACATAAACGTACATTGTTTATTATAGTTTATTTAGTTCTACGTGGAGGAAAAACGGCCGCAAGTCGAAATTTGAACTCGCTTCCTTATGAAGATAGACAAAAACGTTAGTAATGACTAAAGCCATTTGCGGTATTGTTTTTGCTCTGCCGAGATACAGTTCAACTTGTCGAGTGCACAATAAAAGCGCGCACTTTTGACTAAACTATCGCACAACTGTTCAGTCTCGCTTTAATTTCTATGAGCTTATATTGAGACGCATACTACTAAAATTTTAGTTGTACACTAAACAGTTAAATTGGGTACAAAACAATTGACAATCGTACAACGGTTGTGCGATAATTCAATCAAAGGTGTTCGTCCGCTCTAATAGAATATAAAGATAGTTAGTCTGGAGATAAGCCGAATACAGAATACGAAAAAAATAGTATTTTACATTACTTTTTAGTTTATAATAATTTCAAAAGCATAAAAAAATGAAGCAGTACTTCGTGGCTATCGTAATACAATAGGTACTTTTCTACACATTTCATAATAGGCTTCAAGTGGAATATAGAAATCATATGCTCTGCCAACTCTATACATAGTTCAATAAATAGCGCGATATCAAATAATGGTTCAATAGAAAAACAAAGCCCATATAAATTCGTTTTCGGAAAATAAATGCTGTACCTACGGTTTACGAAATAGACAGAATTCAACTCTATTTCAAAAACGCTAGAGTAGAGTTTCAAATCTGTAGACATAAGGGTGTTTAACGCTATGAGCTACAAAAGCGTTTATTAGCGCATTTGTCGCCGTGACGAGTGAGTGAGGGGTTGCCATGTTTTATTTGTTCTGGTAATAACACGTTTTATTACCGAGATATATAGCAGCGCGAATTTATTACATGAGCTTCGCTTTAAGAGCTCATATGTGACAAATGTGTAATATACTGCATTATCTTGTATGTCAAATGTAATAAAAAAACCACGACACTTCAAATGGCAACATTTTTAACTATATACTTTGTACTTTTTGGAAAGTTAATATTTGGTACAATTTTGACACTCTCTTTAATTTATAAATAACTAGCTTTTGTCCGTGTGTACGTCTGCGTGAAATTAAAAATTGTCATGTGTTCTTCCAGACTATCCTCTACATCTATACCAAATTTAATCGAAATCTGTTCAGCAGTTTAGGCTACAAACTCTAAAAAACATTCATCCATCTAAACTTTCGCATTTAAAATATTAGCATGATTATCTAAATGTACTATAGATATAATTAAAACAGCTATTTTTAAATTAAACTAATCTTACTCTTATTTATTCTAGTAAATTAGAATTCGTTTTAAGATATAATAGAAAAACAGCAACAGCACCCCTGGTCGCTTGTGACAACCCTGACTACTCAGTAATAGTTATAGTAACATTGATTAACATCTAATTCACATTGAGTTTGTATTGTAGCGAGTATGCTCGGGCCCCGGCCCGGGCCCCATGCCTTCAAGTGATTTCTTTCACCGGGACACGCATCAACAAACTACCAAATAACGTGTAACTATCAACTAAACTACTCGCTAATGTCGCACGGATCAATTAATAACGGTCAATTGTAACCATTATAAAATGAACTAACAGCTTAAACTTTTACTTCTCTCGCGTGGTTCAGGAAATCTGGTGCAAAGTACAATGGGTTTGAAAATGTGTTTATGTGACTGATTTTGTAAAGAGACTCTAATGTGTAGTGAATTGTAACTGGGATCAGATAAGATGCTTTTAGAGATATAATTGATGTTCTCAGAGCGTGCTGTGCGGCATTGTACTGCGCAGTAATTGCCTTGTAAACGTACGGGCCATTTAAATAAGCCCCCATACGCGATTCAAGTACGTGTTACTTATACGAGCTTATTAATGCTTTTATGTTCGTAGTTTTTTAACAACTGTAATTTATTGTGCAAATAAATTACTTTGCACGTAATTATTTGAAAATTGTGATAATTATACTTTGCGTTATTTTTTTCTCGAAATTTCCTAAGGGTTACTACTCTGGACTACATCATCTAACAATATTATAAAAGTGAAAGTTTGGATGGATGGATGTTTCTTTGCAGTTTGTGTGTCATAAAATTGACAAAAAATTTCATGTGTGCAGTTTTACCAAAGGTGTAGAGTGCAGGTAGTGTGGGAGGCTATGTCGCAGGCTGCGGCGCGGCCGGACGCGCTAATTGCCGCCAATTGCCGCTCTCACCTGCGACACGAGCGCCGCCGCGGCACGGATTGATATTAATTGAACGAGCCACTCTAATACATCTACAAATTGCACTGCAGGCGATCTAGTTACCAACTAGATATGATATCTCTGTCTAACTTTTTAACGACAAAACTCTCTACTAAACAATATTCCAAGTTAAGTAATGCTAACCTTTTATACAAGAAAAAATATTTTTCTTATCAGTTTCAATAACAAGATAATGATAATACTGGCAGTATACCTGCTAAATATTGTTGGAGCTATATTATATATTCCTAAACAGTCTAACTGTTAAGTTAAGTATTGCCACTGTTTTTACTAAAGAGTGGAACTGTTCAGTTGATACTGAAAGTAAGCAGCGGGTCCAGGAGTTAATCAACATTAGACATTTAGAAACGATCAGTCACAAATTAGAGTCGTAAGTTTTGTTGTTGGAAACAGTATTACAAGAGAAAGAAGAGGGCGCTAAAGGGTTAGTAATGGATATGTCCGTCAAGTCCCGGAGAACATTTGTCTCTAATTAGTGCGGTGAGTTGCCTTTCTCCAGACGACTGGGAAACTATGAGAACTGGTCACTGTACCGCTCTACTGAACTAATTTAATTCCAAAAAGTAATAAGTAAAATGTAAACTTTATCTGTGTGTAAAATTCGCGCTTTCAACTGATGACATTTATTATTATCCGTGTGTTCAATTATTATTTTTCTCCGCAGCTGCTGCAATTAAAATTTAATTCACTTAAACTTTCAATTTAACCAATAATCCTTTCAGATGGCTCTCTCACAGTAATCCCTTCACCTTGCTCCACGGCCGCTAAGTATTAATTAATGGATGGTTGAGTTCGCGCGCTAGTGCCGGCGGCGGCGCAGGGCGGCGCAGTGTCGCACTTTCCCATAGATGATAAACGTACCCTTTATTAACTAAAGCAAGAGATTACCAGAATACCGCACTGTTTAACAAATAACTCCAACACCAAATTATGAAACACACTCGACAACATTCTTATATCTATTGTACATAAAAACTATATTTCCTTGCACCGTTTCCTTTTTATTGCGGCAAAAGAAAGCAATTAGGGGCCATTCAATTTGACTTGACCCCTGCGAAAGTGTCGCCGCGCCCCTGGCGGGCTCGAGTTGTCGGTGCGGGGAGGGGATGAAGGGGTTTTTATAAACTGGTCGTTTTGGAATACGCTTGACATATGTTAGGCTAGCAAAGCCAAAGGGGCTCGAGTGGCATAAGCCCCTTGGGTTCATTATTGGCCCTTCGTCCCTTCCCGAGGGCCCTTCGCTCAATGTTTGCGAAGACTTTTCATTTCACTTAATAGAGTTTCGTTTAGTTCATTTTCGATGTTTAGCAGAAGTTCGTTGTGTAGAATGGCGTTGGGCGCAATTATTAACACTTTTCTGCCAATTAACTGACTGCTCTCGAATCTACAATGAGTGACGTTTAGTGTGTTATTTAATATTTATAAACTTCGTGACATATATTTAACAAATTCTAACATTAAATTACAACATCTTTCAGTTAAATCATAGTTAA